AATCCAGTGACTAAAGAAGGCAAGGTGTTGGGTGACCAAGTGGATTCTTTGGGTTGGTTGGATTAGTCTAATTATGTTGGATAACTGGGGGAAAGAAACTGATAAGCTTAGGGCTTTAACTTCTCAGTTCAACATCAGATAAAGGACCACAAAGCCTTAAGTGCTTTACTGTATCTGCAATGTTGTATTTTCTAAAAATCAAACTCAAAATCTAATTCTGAATTACAATGCAAATTGAATTCCCAATCTCATAGTGTTTCAAGTTAAAGTTATAGCAATTTTTTGAGCAGAGGTGAGACCCAGAATTTTGGAATAGTGACACCTGGACAAATTATGATGGCACTAGGATCATGAACCCCTGTAGTCTTTTTTTTTCTTTTTTGAGACAGGGTCTCTGTCACCCATGCTGGAGTACAGTGGCGCGATCTTGGCTCACTGCTACCTCTGCTTCCCAGGCTCAAGTGATCTTCCTGCCTCAGCCTCTTGAGTAGCTGGGACTACAGGCTCATGCCACCATGCCTGGCTAATTTTTTTTTTTTTTTTTTTTTTTGGTAGAGACAGGGTTTCCCCATGTTTTCCAGGTGGGTGTTTAATTACTGGACTCAAGAGATCCACCTGTCTTGGCTTCCCAAAGTTCTGGGATTACAGGCATGAGCCACCATGCCCAGTTAGAACCCCTACATTCTGTTGAGCCTCCTTTGCCAGTAAAAGAAGCCCTTCCTCTACTGTCTGAGGAAGTTAGTTTCCTCATCCCTGTGAAATTTATAAAGCCTTCACCTGAGGTGGTTGCCTGATGGGATCTGCTGATTCTTCTCAAAACTACTGTTATCACCTCTCATTACTTCTAGACTCCATTACAGAAGAATGCCCTAGAGGATAAGATAAAAAGCGTGTGCCAGGCATGGTGGTTCACACCTGTAATACCAGCACTTTGGGAGGCAGAGGCAGGCTGATCACCTGAGGTCAGGAGTTCAAGACTAGCTGGCCAACATGGAGAAACCCTGTCTCTACCAAAAATACAATAATTAGCCCAGCGTGGTAATGTGCGCCTGTAATCCCAGCTACTAGGATGGCTGAGGCAGGAGAATCACTTAAACCCGGGAGGCGGAGGTTGCAGTGAGCTGAGATCTCTCCACTGCACTCCAGCCTGGGTGACAGAGCAATACTCTGTCTCAAAAAAACAAAACCAAAAACAAAAAGGTGTGCGAGATTTCTATTAATAGAAACCTGGGCAACATATGTGGGGATGGAGACTAAGAATGTTGGGTGGGGTGTGTGGTAGTCAGCCTCTAGGACGGCCCCACCGATCCCCACCTCTTTTCCCACACTGTATCTGGATTGGTTTGTGTGACCAATAGAATACAGCAGAAGTGATGGTGTGTCACTTCTGAGATTCGGTTATAAAGGACGCTGCAGCTTCTGCCTTGGTTGCTCTCCTTCTTTCTTGATTTACCCACTCTGATTAAGCAATGTCATGAGCAGCTCTGTGGTGAGGACCACTTGTCCAGGAACTGAAGTTTTCTGCCAATAGCCAAGTCAGAGAGCTTGGAAGCAGATCCCTCAGCCCTGGTCTATTCACTAAAGACCCCAGTCCCACCTGATGGTTTGACTAAAACCTCATGACAGATTCTGAGCCAGGACCACTCAACTAAGCCACACCCACTTTCCTGACCCTCAGAAAATGTGAGCTGATAAGTGTTTGTTGTATGCCCATAAGTTTTGGGGTAATTTGAGAGCTTGTTTGGAGGTTCTAGCAGGAGAGCATAGCTACTTATATACCTTTGACTGAAAAATAGTCCTCCTCTATAGGGGAAAGTTCGTCTTTTTTGACCCAGCACACAGCTTTGGGAGGGACGCACATGGAGCAGTGAGGGAAGAAGGGGACATGAGCTTAGGCAGCCAGATCAGCCAAAGCAACCCTGGCCATCGATGGGGTGACAGACGTCACAGCCAGATCACCCTCATATCATTTTGGGGTAATTTGATAGGCAGCAAAAACTAAAATAGAATAGAAGGAATATAATAGTAGATCAAGCCACATTTATTAATATGGGTACAGTACACAGAGTGTCTCAATGCATTGTTTTCATTCAAATGCCTGGGAGTGACTCTAATGGTCTGGCTGAAATTTAAATTCAATGGTGGCCTATACTAAATGAAATTAAAAATCCAGACTTTCCTGGTATACCAGATAGGAAGGTATTGACAAAGACTCTCCTTGATCTAACTTTAGTCAGACTTCTCTGAAATCTTTTTTGACTAGGCCCCATCTTGGGGCATGTCCACCAAAAGCCCAGTCATAGCAAGAATCCCCCACCCTTGATATCTGATCACCCTCCATATTTGATCAAATTCTTCATCTTCCACTTTCTCCAAGGTGATATCTGATCCCTCTGGTTTGCCTTCAGCAAGAATCTTACTAGATTTGTTTAGCACAAGTTATCCTACCCTTTTAGTAATTTTCTTTTTTTTTTTTTTTTTTTGAGATGAAGTCTCACTCTGTTGATCAGGCTAGAGTGCAGTGACACACTCTTGGCTCACTGACATCTCTACCTCCCACGTTTTAGTAATTTTCTTTTTTTTTTTTTTTTTTTTTTATTTTTTTTTTTTTGGGACGGAGTTTCGCTCTTGTTACCCAGGCTGGAGTGCAATGGCGCGATCTCGGCTCACCGCAACCTCCGCCTCCTGGGTTCAGGCAATTCTCCTGCCTCAGCCTCCTGAGTAGCTGGGATTACAGGCACGCGCCACCATGCCCAGCTAATTTTTTGTATTTTTAGTAGAGACGGGGTTTCACCGTGTTGACCAGGTTGGTCTCGATCTCTTGACCTCGTGATCCACCCGCCTCGGCCTCCCAAAGTGCTGGGATTACAGGCTTGAGCCACCGCGCCCGGCAGTAATTTTCTATACATTGGCACTCTCCCCCCATCCTGCTCCTTGGCTATAAACTCCCACTTATTTTTGTTGCATTTGGAGTGGAGCCCAACCTCTCTCACCCACTGCAAAACCCTATTGCAGCTCTTCCTACATCTATCATAATAGTTCTGAATAAAATTCTGCCAAATCTGAATAACAAGTGTTGGAATAATTGTTTTCTTTAATAGTGTCCAAAAGTTTACAGAAATTACAATGCTGGAATAGATTTATTATTTTAAGATATTCTCATCTACCTCCTAATTTTCTCAAGAGTCCAGAGGACAATCCTTTATCAAGGGCATGAGAAATGCATTCATAAGAAAACCCCAGCATTTTATGTAGTAGCCATTCACTGTAGGCCAGGAATGATGATGAGAATTGCTATCATTAAACTGGGGCTCCCTAAATTCAGTGGGCTTCTAGGATAGAGGTGATCTTTACTTACCAAAGACCAGTCCAGACTTGGTTACTACAATGGACAACAGAAGCAATAGTCAGAATGGTTTGATCTGCAGAGATCTTTGGCATTGCCTAATGGATCATGGTGTCCTTAGAACTAAAATAAATGAACAGCCTATTAAGTTAGTTATGTGTAAGTGAAAAGACTCCTGATCTGGTGAATAGAAGTCTGATTTGAATCTCCACAGTGGAGAGTTATGGTCTTTCAGGTAATTTCCCTACTTGTGTCAGGTCAGAGGCCCAGAACATCTTGAATATTAAGGAGGCCAAGCCCCTTGTCTTAGTCCATACCTGCTGTGGTAACATCACCCAAAGAGGGACAAAAGGATTTTGTATCCTTTTTTGGGGAGAAATAGCATGTTCACAATTGTCCAAAGGACAGCTGTATCATGTTAGGTTAGGCCTGACTTTGCTCTTTAGTTTTTATCTGGAAGTTAAATATGATTACAAGAGGTGTTCATTGATGCCATGTTGACAACAGATTGTGGTGCTTTTTTTGTTGCTGTTGTCACGTAGTTTTAATTTCATAATCATAAGCTTGACTCTGCAATCCAGCTAGGCATAGAGGGGAACAAGGAAAACAAAGAACCTAAAGGGAACTGCAGTGAGAGAACAAGGAGTCTAGGATACTGTGAGCAAATGGAATGGAAGGTGCTCTCCTGAGCTACAGAAGGAATGGGCTGGTGGTTAAGATAAAACACAGGTCAAACTTATTAGAGTTGTCCACAGTCAGCAATGGTCATTTTCTTGCTGGTCTTGCCATCCCTGGACCCAAAGCACACCATGGCCTCCACAATATTCATGCCTTCTTTCACCTTTCCAAAGACCACATGCTTGTGATCCAGCCACTCTGTCTTGGCAGTACTGAGAACTGTTTGTGTTGGGTCCAGCATTTGCCAGGGACAAGATGCCAGGACCTGTATGCTTCAGGATGAAGTTCTCATCACCAGATTTCTCCCCATGGATGGACTTGCCACCAGTACCATTATGGAGTGTGAAGTCACCACCCTTACACATGAACCCTGGAATAATTCTGTGAAAGCAGGAATCCTTAAAACCAAATCCTTTCCAGCGCTCAGAGTATGAAAGGTTTCTGCTCTTTGGAACCTTGTCTGCAAACAGCTAGAAGGAGATACGGCCCAAGGGCTCAATGTTGGAGAACACGGTGGGGTTGAACATGGCTGATAGTACAGGGCTCCTGGCGGCAGTGGTTTCTGCAAAGCCCTGTGGTGCTTTTTTACTGTGTCAATTTAGCTAGCCTAGAACCACATTTCCTAGATTCCCTTCCCTGTATAGTTTTGGGTTAAGGTTAGCTATAAGAGAAATCCATGCAATTTGGAAGGCAGAAGTGGAGCAACAGTCATTACATTCCGAAGGTCTCCAGCTCCTACATGGGGTAGAAGCTGGGCCTGCAGCTCCTTCAGCTACCACTGGATCTTCTAGATAACTTCTCTGAGTTCTGGGCCCCAAGCATGTACAGCCCCATGGTGAAGGTACTTACCAGCTGTTACAGCTGAAAAAATGTGCAGCAAATGGACACAGTATTATCTGGTGCTGGGGGAAGGGAATAGGAAGATTCTCTACAGTTATATATTTTTACATAATATTTGTTTTTTTATTACAAAGGATTTTTTTTTTTTTTTGGGTTTTTAAAAATGTTTATTTTATGTACAAAGAACTATCATGGTTTTTCATGGTAGGTGTCTTGGATAATCCTTTGAAGATCATTTAGTCCAACTTAATGAAACCTATATCCTTCGCGTACTGATGGAAACACTGGCGGCACATATTGAGACCATATTTCCGGATCAAACCGTGCCGGTTTGAACAGACTCGACAAGAGCGAGAACCCTGGCCAAATTTTCGCGGGTGGCTCCAGTACAGCTGCTGGTGACCCATCTTGCTCTCAGAAAGGCAACGAGGTAAAAGCCTGTTCTGCTTTTTGATATTTAAGACTTTGGTTAGTGGAGTAGCACAGGGAGGCGCACTGTCTCATTGTGCATGGAATTAGTATCATTGGGAAGAAGGTACACAGGACACCGTATTTTAATGTTTATAATAATCATACAGGTAAGCATTATTCTTTCCATTTTTTAGATAAAGAAAAGAACTTAGGGAGGTTAAATACATTACTTAAAATTAATGTTAGTATAAAGCTTTACTTGAACATGTCATGTCTATTTGTTAATATACTGTTTATGGCTGTTTTCACACTACAACCATGGAGTTGTGTAGCTGTGAAAGAGATCATATTTACTCTTTGGCCGTTTGCAGAAAATGTTTGCCAACGCTTGTGCTAGAGAATGAGAGACTACATGAAGCAGCTGAGGTGTCCCAACTGAGATCATCTTAGAAGAGCCAGCAGCCAGCCAACCCATCAGCAGACTTCAAATGCAAGAGTACAGTAAAGATCTGCCAATCCTGTCCCCATCAGGAGAACTACCCAACTGCCTTAAAGACTCCTGAGAATAAATGGTTGCTGTTTTAAGATGGGTTGGTGTTTTGCCTAAAGAACTGATGCTAGGGGCATGGTTCTTTGTTGCAAATATTAAGTTACTAAAAAGAATTCTAAAAAGTATTCTATGAAACAGAAAATAGGTTCTATAATAGGTTAGAATATTTTGAGCACACTAATTTTAGTTTCTATTTCATAGGTTTAGTCCTTAAGAGACAAATACTATATAGATACACAAAATTCAGACAGTATTTTAGTTTTATAATCTGCAGTTCTGGGAAATGAATATATTCTGTTTCTCTTTATTTCTTACCCATAACATTGCCCTAAATGAATATAAATATTTGCATTTACCTTCGAAATTCTTTATAATGAAGTTTTCTTTGTCCTCTTTTTCCAAAGAAATGGATCTGAAGAGTTGTGTTAATTTCAGGTTCTTTCACTGTTGCTTCCTATTAAAAAATTATAATAATTTAAAATATTATAAATGAGAAAAAAAATTGAATCTGTAGAACTCTTAGAATAATACCCAGAAAGGACAACAACAAAAGCTGTAAAAGAGGGATAGAGTCATTCCTTCTGTTATTTTGCAAACACTCCATAACCATCTTTGCTCAAGCAGGCAAAAAACAGTAAGGGCTGAAATAATCAAGGTGGACTTCAGCATGAAACAAGATCTTAGATCAGGCCAAAAAAGAAGTTTAGAAGAGTGAAATAAATGTTACTTCAAAATATGATCTCTAGGTCTTTACTAATGAAGCAGCACTGAGTTAAAGCAAGAAAGTCTTTGAGCTTTTGTTGAATGTTGGAAATACTTGCAAAACACTTGTTTTTCCTAATTATAAAATTAACTGGTGAGAATTCCAGTAAAGGTAATGAGTGAGGCAGATTCGCACTTCTTTAATAAAATAAACAACGAAAAAAACCTACTAAAAAAAAATTGCAGCAACCAAACAACAAAGGGGGTATAAAATTTAAACCAGATTTTGAAAAAGAGCAGTCAGAGACACACTAGACTCAGGTGTGGGATGGTCTAGCCTATCTCCTCATCTTTCCACCACCCCAACCCTGATTCTCCGAAGTACAAGGGGGATGTCAGATTACCCCATTAGGAGAAAACCTTCAATTCTGTGATAAGCAGATTAACAGGGTTAGAAGACAACTGTGAGACAAGTCATGGAAAACTCTTCAGTAGAAGCTCCTCCCTGAAGCTTGGTGGGACTTGCAGAGTGAAGAAGGGCTTCTATCTTTCAGGGCACTATGTTAAATTGAGGGAACAATCAGAAGCCCACAGGATGGGATATATCTCAGAGGGTGGAGTGGGCCATGGTCTGGAACATTTAATAGAATTACAGAGAGAGAGCGGAGTCTAGGTGCTCCAGTAAGGGTTGCATTTAGACTAAGGAATTCCCTTCTCTCCTTTAGTCTATATAATAGTGGACCAGAATGCAGTACCTGCAGTTCAGGGGAAAAGATAAATTAGTTCCAGATAGGAGAGAACAGTATTAAGGAGAATGTCATTCATGCTCTGCCAGAGCAGAGAGGGTCTGGATAGAACATGAGCATGAGGAAAAGATAAGGCATGACAACTATACAAAGACACTGTAGCAAGAAACAAAAAGAACAAATCAGGCAAAAGGCACAAAAACCCAGATAACCCAAGGAACAAATGAGTATTTCTCATGAGTCCTTTAAAAAACAGTAACTTTTTTTTTTGAGATGGAGTCTCACACTGTTGCCCAGGCTGGAGTAAAGTGGCACGATCTCAGCTGACTGCAACCTCTGCCTCCCGGGTCCAAGCGATTCTCCTGCCTCAGCCTCCCGAGTAGCTGGGATTACAGGCGTTTGCCACCACACCCAGCTAAATTTTTTGTATTTTTAGGAGAGATGAGGTTTCACCATGTTGGCCAGGCTGGTCTTGAACACCCGACCTCATGATTTGCCCGCCTTGGCCTCCCAAAGTGCTGGGATTACAGGTGTGAGCCACCGTGCCTGGCCTAAAGAAAATAACTTTTTGAGATAACTACAGATTTCAAATGCAATGGTAAGAAACAATACAAAATATCCTGTCTGCCCTTTACTCAGTATCCTCCAATGCTAACATCTTGCCAAACTATGGTAAAATATCACAACTTGACACGGTCAACATACAGAACATTCTTTCACCACAAAGCTCTCATGTTGCTTTTATAGCCACACCAGCTTTCCTCCTGTTCCCACCCTTTCTTTAGCCTCTGACTATTAATGAATTCTCCATTTCCATAATGTTGTCATTTCAAACATGTTATATAAATAGAATCATAAGGTTTGCAACTTTCAGGTATTGGCTTTTTTTTTTTTTTTTTTTTTTTTTTTTTTTTTCCTGGCTCAGCATAACTCTTTGGAGATTCATTCAGGTTGTTGTATCTTTTGCCATATCAATTGTGTTTCTTTTTATTGCAAAACAGTATTTCATGGTAATGGAGTCCCACAGTTGAACTGTTCACCTGTTAAAAGACATCTAGATTGTTTCCAGTTTGGGCTGGATGTTGCCAAACTGAGCTGCCAAGAATATTTGTATATAGGTTTTTATGTGAACACAGGTTTTCATTTTTCTGGGATAGAATCCCAGGACCACAATCACTATTTTCGGGTGGTGGTTTTACATTCCCACTAGCAATGAGTGATTCAGTTTCTCTGCATCCTTGCAACCATCTGGTGTGTCAGTGGTTTGTTTCTAGTCATTTGGATGGTGTATATCTCTCTATGGTTTTAATCTGCACTGCACTAATGACTAAAGGTGCTGAGTATCCTTTTATGTGCTTGTTTTTGCCTATTTTCTTTGGAGAAATATTAAGTCCTTTGCCCAGTTTTTAACTGGGTTGTTAATCACTTTGTTGTTGAATTATAAGAAGAGTTCTTTATATATATACCAACAGTAGATCCTTACCGGATACGTGGTTTGCAAGTATCTTCTTCCATTATATTGGTTATCTTTTCACACTCTTGATAGTGTCCTCTGATGAACACGAATTTTTTATTTCGATGAAATCCAATATATCTACTTTTTCTTCTGTTGCTTGTGATTTTAGTGCCATTATATAAGAAATCATTGTGAAATCCAATGTCATGAAACTTTGTTCTGATGTCTTTATAAGTTTAGCTCTTACACCCATTTGAGTTAATTTTTATATATGGTATGAGGTAGGAGTCCATATTCTTTTATACATACATATCCAGCTGTACCAGCAACATTTGCTGAAGAGATTTCATTACTTTTTGAAAATTGTGAATGGTATATTTAAAATTTTAGTGTCCCTGGTGTTCAGTGATAGTATATACACATGTGATTGATTTTTGTACATTTTTCTTGTACCTGGTGACTTTCCTAAAATCAACTATGAGTTCTAGAAGCTTTGTTTTGTTTTGGGATTTTTTTTTGCAGATTCCTTGGGAGTTTCTACAGAGACAATGCCATCTGTGAAAAGAGACTGTTTCATTTCTTACTTTCTAATCAGTAGGCCTTTTATTTCCTTGTCTTGCCTTACTGGAGTGGCTAAAAATTTCAGCACTGTATTGAACAAGAGTAGCAAGAATGAACATCCTTGCTTTGTTCCTGATGTTAGGGGAAAAGAATTCAGCCTTTCATCNTTTTTCATGGTAGGTGTCTTGGATAATCCTTTGAAGATCATTTAGTCCAACTTAATGAAACCTATATCCTTCGCGTACTGACGGAAACACTGGCGGCACATATTGAGACCATATTTCCGGATCAAACCGTGCCGGTTTGAACAGACTCGACAAGAGCGAGAACCCTGGCCGAATTTTCGCGGGTGGCTCCAGTACAGCTGCTGGTGACCCATCTTGCTCTCAGAAAGGCAACGAGGTAAAAGGCATTACAAAGGATTTTTAAATTAGTGTAGTAACATAAAGTTGAATTAACCAGAAAAGAGAGAAAGAAAAACCAGACCCTTCCATGACTGCCTTTGTCTATATAAGATCAGACTCCTCAGTCTGGTATTTGAGGCCCTGGACAAACAGGTGCTAGGGTAGTTTTTTAAGCTCTTTTTTTGTTTTTTGTTTTTTTCTTTTTCGAGATGGAGTTTCACTCTTGTCGTCCAGGCTGGAGTGCAATGGCTTGATCTTGGCTCACTGCAACCTCTGCCTGCCTCCCAGGTTCAAGCAATTCTTCTGCCTCAGCCTCACGAGTAGCTGGGACTACAGGTGTGTGCCACCCGCCCAGCTAATTTTTGTATTTTTAGTACAGACAGGATTTCACCATGTTGGTCAGGATGGTCTCAATCTGTTGACCTCGTGATTCCCCTGCCTCAGCCTCCCAAAGTCCTGAGATTACAGGCGTGAGCCACCACGCCCAGCCTACTTTCTTAACTTTATCTGTCACTACTTCCCTTCCTATGCTCTCCACTCTGGAATTCTTCCTGGGACTCTGGGACTTTAGCTGGGCCAGAGGGCTGGGCCTGGGGAAGGGTTGCTAAGAGAGTGCCATGACGCTGCAGCCTCAGAGCTAATTTTTTTTTTTTTTTTTGAGACAGAGTCTCACTCTGTCACCCAGGCTGGAGTGCAGTGGTATGATCTGAGATCACTGCAACCTCCATCTCCTGGGTTCAAGTGATTCTTCTGCCTCAGCCTCCCGAGTAGCTGGTACTGCAGACATACCTCACCACGCCCAGCTAATCTTTTTCTTTTGTAATTTTAGTAGAGATGGGGTTTCACCATATTGGCCAGGCTGGTCTTGAACACCCGACCTTGTGATCTGACCGCCTTGGCCTCCCAAAGTGCTAGGATTACAGGTGTGAGCCACCGCGCCCCGCCTAGAGCTAATTTTTTTTTAAGTGCACATCTTCTGTAGACTTTTAGACATCTCATTGAGTTCTCACAGACTGCAAGATAAGTATTACTCCAGTCCAGAACCAGCCACCTAATTTGCAGGGTCCAGTGCAAAATAAAAAATGTGTAGCCCCTTGTTCATACATTTATTAAGAATGTCAAGCTGGGCATGGTGGCTAACACCTGTAATCCCAGCACACTAGGAGGCCAAGGCGGTGGATCACCTGAGGTCAGGAGTTCGATACCACACTGGCCAACATGAGGAAACCCCGTCTTTACTGAAAATACCAATATTAGCCGGCCGTAGTGGTGCACGCTGGTAGTCCCAGCTACTCTGGAGGCTGAGACAGGAGAATCGCTTGATCCCAGGAGGCGGAGGTTGCAGTGAGCTGAAATGGCGCCATTGCACAAAGCAAGACTCCGTCTCAAAAAATAAAATAATAAAATTCAAAATGACTTAAGAGCATTAAACTAAGTGTAAGGCCATGTGTGATTGTACCAGTGTGAACCTGTAAGGCCAGTCCCACACCAATCTTACATCTAAGGAACAGGTTCACAGAGATGAAGTAAATTCCCAAGGTTACTTTGTCAAGAGCTGGGAAAATATAAGAGCCAAAGTCTAACGGTTTGAACCCCTATTAAACTCTGCAACTAAACTATGCCCCTCCCTGTTGAGCTGAATCTAATGAAGACTTCCTAAATGTATTAAGCACACACAGCACCATCTACCATCAGTCACTTTCAGTAGTTCATCCCTTTAACACCTCAGGTGTTGAATGTTTCAACGTGTTCTATTTCAACGTGTTCTAGACTATTGTGGAAAAGCGGCAAGCCGTCTTAAGACTTCTTACTGCACATTCCTTTCAAAATACTCTCCAGAAGTCTGATGAAAAATGCAGACATACCTATGTTTAATGTCAATGGATGGAACTTCTTTCAAGAAGTACTGTAATGGCAGAAATTGTGATCCAAAATACTGCAGTGATGTTCTAACTCCAACACCTAAATATATCATAAAGCATTCGTATTATTATTATTTTTTTTTTGAGTGACTACTAGATACTGTGATTCACTTTAGAGAACTGAAGCCTAGGCTCAACGAGAGACACGTGAAGGTGAAGGGACAAAGCGAGTAGGACAAGAGCCCGAACCCAACACCTATCAAAAAAAAAAAAAAAAAAAAAAAAAAAAATACGACCCGGAACGCGCGCCTGCGCAGAACGAATCCTCCTGCGCACAAGCCGGGCCGGAAGAGCTGGGGTGGCAAGGGCGGGAATAAGGTTGCTAGGAGAACGCGATGACGCTACGGGCTCGGCGCTCTTCTCCACCAATGGGCGACGCGTTCTTGCAGTGACGCGCTAGCGCGTCACGCTGACGACACGCGAAGGGCACACATCTTAGGGCCCGGAGGACGTTCGGCCTCTGTGAGCGGCAACCTTTCCGAGGGAGTGGTTGGGTAATCGCCATCTTAGGGAGTGAGTGCGGCCGGGCCTTCCCCTGTGGCGGGTGTGGGGAGCGGAGCCTGCAGCCCCAGTGGGGCCGCTGCTTTGGCGGTGGGCCCAGCCGGGAGCAGCCGCCTTCGAAGGCCTCCGTGACCTCTTCAAGGGCGCGGAGGCGGGAAGCCCCGGTTGGAGTCCGAGGGTGCCAGTAACATTAACCGGCGTCTTGCCTATCCTCTAACCGCCGCTCCCTCTTCCCCAGAAAGATGTTCTCGTCCGTGGCGCACTTGGCGCGGGCGAACCCCTTCAACGCGCCTCATCTGCAGCTGGTGCACGATGGCCTCGCGGACCTCCGCAGCAGCCCTCCGGGGCCCACAGGCCAGCCCCGCCGCCCTCGCAACCTGGCAGCCGCTGCCGTGGAAGGTGAGATCAGACCCTGCCCAATACAGTCGTGTGGTGTACTTGTGGTCCGCCCAGCCTCGGAGGCCTGGACCCGGCTTGGAGGACAGGGAAGGACGAGTCCAGCCCCGTCCACCGTAGTACGGCGCCCAGTTTCTTGCCCTGGGATATCGGCCTTGTCCACCCTGGGCGGGTGTCGGATCCTTGGCCCTTCCTCAAGGGCGTGGAAGGGCTGAGGCCCAGTGTCCCTTCGTGACCTCCATGTCCCCGAGGGAAGAGAGGCCGTGAGTAGCTCCTTACCTTATCTGCCGTGAGCCTGTTTGGTCAGCCGACCAAGTGTTGGGTAGTCTCCTTCCCAAACTACTGACCACCCATAGTTCTACTAACTATATTTCCTGTCCTTTGATTTGACCTTAGTTTTCTTAAAAATCGTCCTTTCCTAAGATTTATATTCATCGACGTCAGGTCAGTCATTTTTGCACTTAATTACATATGAGATAACTTGAGGATACAGCTTACAGCCCTACATAGGCAATAGAAAGGAGATGATTCATGGGCATCCCTTTGGTGTGATTATCTCTTGGGATTTTTGGTGGTTGGCCTGGGCTTTAACTTAATTGTGTTTTAAATCCTAGTGAAGTATGTGCATACAGAGAAACCTGAAAACCGAATTGTAGGAGTCCTGAGAATGTTATCTACCTTGTGCCTGTAAAACCAAAGATTTTTTTTTTTTCTTTAAATCATTCATGTGCTTCTGTTATGTCTTTAGTATGGATTAAAAGTCCTTACTTACACTGTCATTCTGTCGTTCAGTTTAAAAGTTAAAGCTAACATTATTTGTGTGTTAAATGTATTTGACTGCAGGAATTTATGTGTACCTGTTTTTTTATGTTATAGGAGTTCATAAGTGGGAATAGTATTGGTTGGTGGCTAGGATAAACTTTGAAGTTGTTTGCAAGCCTTTTACATGTCGAGTGATCTTTCTGAGTTTCATTTGTACTCTGAAGTGTGCTCTTACCAGTGGCCAATAATTCAAAGTTTGACTTTAATTGTAAAAGCCCTTAATGCAGAAACCTTTTTTCCAAAATTAATATGGCAGAATACAAGTTATTCAAGTATCAGATACAGAACCCCCATAATTTTTAAATAATCTGATTTTGGCAGTGAATTTTTTTTTAAGCCACTTAATTGTGGCCAAAGCTACTCAGCTGTGATAACAATATTTCACCAGAAAACAGTTTTCTTTCATTCCAGTGGCCTTAGTCGTCTCTGAAGAGATACTTACTTGATTTTTTTTTTTTTTTTCCCAATCAAACAGAGCAGTATAGCTGTGACTATGGATCTGGCAGATTCTTTATCCTTTGTGGACTTGGAGGAATTATTAGCTGTGGCACAACACATACAGCATTGGTTCCTCTAGATCTGGTTAAATGCAGAATGCAGGTTTGTTTTGCATGCTGGACTAGAGCATATTGAAGCATGACTGACTGTTAAGTTGTAAGATATAGTCATCTACTAACAAGCTGTGTGGAATCCTAACTGTCCAGGAGGTAAGTTTATGACCAGTAACATGAGTTTTATATTAAAATGCATGGTGTGTCTTCTCTTACTACAGAGTACAGTTGTGAATTTGGCTCCGCGAAGTATTATGCACTGTGTGGCTTTGGTGGGGTCTTAAGTTGTGGTCTGACACACACTGCTGTCGTTCCCCTGGATTTAGTGAAATGCCGTATGCAGGTTTGTATTGAGATGATAACATTGAAAGTGTCTTTCATGTGACTTCAAATAAAATCTTAAAACACTTCACAAATGAGAATTTGAAGACATCACAACTGCTAGAAACTTCAGTAGAAAACCAAACTAGAATTTTTTTAAGTTTGTGGTCTTCATTTTAATTAGTGTTTTAAATCCAGTACATTTTTGTGTGAGTAAATTATTCACTATTAGACTGTGGCTGTAAATAGCTCTTTGCTGCAGCTCTTCACTTCTGGCCAGAGCTCTTCAAGCTTACTAGTGCCCTAAATAATCACTTTACAAGCAGCTATGTGTTGGAATGGGTAAATAAGTCTGTATTATGTGAAGTAACGATGTCCTTTATCTACTACTAAGACCAAGGCAAAGAGCACATGTAGATTTCTTTAAAATTCTCTTAATATCTTAATATGAAAATTTTGTCTGATTAGCCTCTTGTATATTTACATAAACATTTTAAATAATTTGCATATCTTTTAATTAAGATTATTGAAACAAAAATAATAAGACAACAAAAATTCATTTGTTCCAAACAGGATTAGAAGTCTACTTACCTAAAAGAGAAAGGAATTTGAAATATTAGGAGAGAGAGGAAGGTGATGTATACCACCCCTTCTAGTGCTGGCAGAAATAGTGAGATAAGCTTTCCCCCCTAGTAGTTAATATAAAGGATATGAACTGTACCTTTGCTAAAACATCTTATGCATATCTCTGAAGTGAATTTAGTTTATGTGCTTTTTTTAAACTTTTAAACTTATGTTTGTTTAGTGTTCACAAAACTTTATGCTATAAACTACTTAAAAAACTAGCCTCATGCCTGCAATCCCAGCACTTTGGGAGACTGAGGCAGGTGGATCACAAGGTCAGGAGATGGAGACCATCCTGGCCAACATGGTGAAACCCTGTCTGTACTAAAATACAAGAAACTAGCCAGATGTGGTGGCAGGCACCTATAGTCCCAGCTACTCTGGAGGCTGAGGCAGGAGAATCACTTGAATCCAGGAGGCACAGGTTTCAGTGAGCCAAGATTGCACCACTGTACTACAGCCTGGCGACAGAGTGAGACTCCATCTCAAAAAAAAAAAAGAATTAGGCATACGCTAGGAATACCGATATATCTATTATCTAGACGGTAGCTTTTAAAAAGTAGGAAGTGGGCCAGGCATAGTTGCCTATGCCTGGAATACCACTACTTTGGGTGGCTAAAGTAGGCAGGTTATTTGAGATCAGGAGTTTGAGACCAATCTAGCCAACATGGTGAAACCCTGTCACTACTAAAAATACAAAAATTAGATGTGGTGGCGGGTGCCTTTAATCCCAGCTAATTGGGAGGCTGAGGCAGGAGAATCGCTTGAATTCAGAAGGCAGAGGTTGCAGTGGGCTGAGATCACACCACAGCACTCCGGCTTGGGTGACAGAGCAAGGCAAAAAAAAAAAACCCAGAAAAGTAGTAGGAGTTGAGTAGTAAGAAATGTCTTAAGAATCAGTTTTATTATGTATTTTTGTTGAAATTTTTTACCCACATAACTGTCACTCCAAGACTTAGGTTTGACACAGAAAGCTAGACCTTAGTGGACAAAAGTTTCTATTTATTATTTTTTTAATTTTCAAAAAATTATTTATTTAAAGACAGGGTTTCACCATGTTGGCCAGGCTGGTCTTGAACTCCTAACCTCAGGTAATCCATCCGCCTTGGCCTCCCAAAGTGCTGAGATTACAGGCGTGAGCCACTGTGCCCAGCCAAAAGTTTCTATTTATAAAAGTAATCATAGAGGCTGGGCATGGTGGCTCGCGCCTGTAATCACAGCACTTTGAGAGGCTGAGGCAGGCGGATTGCCTGAGTTCAGTTCAGGAGTTGGAAACCAACTTGGGCAACATGGTGAAACCCTGTCTCTACTAAAAAGTAATCACAGATAATCAGCTGATAATGCAGTGAACTTGTACAGTAGTCCTCCCCCTTATCCACACAGGCTATGTTCCAAGATGCCCTGTGAATGTCTAAAACCTCAGTACCACACCCGATGTATACTTTGTTACTATACACACACATCTTTAATAAAGTCTAATTTATAAATAGGCACAGTAAAATACTAACAATAACTAATTAACAGCTATAAGCATAAACTGTAATAATAGTTACATGAATGTAGTTCCTCACTCAAAATACCTTAATATTTTCAGATGTCAGTTGACCTTGGGTAACTGAAGCCACAGAAAATGAACCCTTGGATCCTTGGATACAGGGGAACTACTGTATTTACCTTTTGTTTAGTTGCTGAAATTTATTATAGAACCCAAACAAAAATAATCATGAAATTAGATATTTCTGTTAGGTTTTTATGTTAGCTGTTTGGTGCATTTAATTTTTTTTTCTTGTTTTAAATAAAGGTGGACCCCCAAAAGTACAAGGGCATATTTAACGGATTCTCAGTTACACTTAAGGAGGATGGTGTTCGTGGTTTGGCCAAAGGATGGGCTCCGACTTTCATTGGCTACTCCCTGCAAGGGCTCTGCAAGTTTGGCTTTTATGAAGTCTTTAAAGTCTTGTATAGCAACATGCTTGGAGAGGTATGTCATTAACTTTGAAATTGAACGTCCCGAGTGTTAAAGTTTAAGACCAGAAAGGTTCTTGGATTGTCTGTCCTGCCCTTTTTTTTTTTTTTTTCCCTTAAAGACGGGGTTTCACCATAATGGCCAGGCTGGTCTTGAACTCCTGACCTCAGGTGATCCACCTGCCTCGGCCTCCCAAAGTAATAGGATTACAGGCGTGAGCCACCGTGCCCGGCCTGTCCTGCCTTATTTTAGCACTGAAGAAAATGGTCCTACATAGTGAGCAACGTCTTAAATCATAAGCCTGTTTTAGCAAAGACAAGTTGAGAAATAAAATGTACTTCATTAAATTACAGTTCTCTTTTTAATATACTATCTTGTTTTCTAAGTAAGTTGGATTTTGAGCTTTTTAGAGAACTCTGGAACTCCTTTGCATGGTTCCAGGGCTAACTCATGGTATCTAGATATTTTATTTTTTATTTTTAAAGACGAGGTTTCACCATACTGGTCAGGCTGGTCTTGAACTCCTGACCTCAGGTGATCTGCCTGCCTCAGCCTCACAAAGTGCTGGGATTACAGTGAGGCTCACGGTGTGAGCCACCATGCCCAGCTGCATTTAGATATTTTTTAAATGTTCACATTGTTCGCCAAACACGTGTTTGGTTAATGAGGTTATGAGGGACCACATATATATTCCATATCATCATGTGTTACTTGATAAACTGAAGTTTAGTTTTCTAGAACTGTCACTTCAGTTGAAAACCAACACAACAGCAATTCACGTCCTTCCTTGTGTTTTGGATTTTAGGAGAATACTTATCTCTGGCGCACATCACTATATTTGGCTGCCTCTGCCAGTGCTGAATTCTTTGCTGACATTGCCCTGGCTCCTATGGAAGCTGCTAAGGTTCGAATTCAAACCCAGCCAGGTTATGCCAACACTTTGAGGGATGCAGCTCCCAAAATGTATAAGGAAGAAGGCCTAAAAGCGTAAGTAAACGCAAATTTATACTATGAAAGTACTTATTTTTAGTGAACTTTTTTTTCTTTTTGAGACAGAATTTTGCTCTTGTTGCCCAGGCTGGAGTGCAACGGTACAATCTTGAATCACCGCACCTCTGCCTCCTGGGTTCAAGCAATTCTCCTGCCTGGGCCTTCCAAAGTACTGGTATTATAGGCGTGAGCCACTGCGCCTGGCTGTGAACTTCATTTTTTAGTATTAAGCCTACCAGGCTTTTTAAAAGGACTATTATAACATTTAATGTTTATTTACCTGTATATAGAACATAAACTAGAGAGTTAAATTAATACATGGTTTGAGCCCTGGACTGAGGTTTTTTTTTTTTTCCTAAAGTAAGGACCATTTGTCAGTCTACAAATGACTTAATATTTGGCCTAAACATTTACTATTAACTTTTAGTGAGGGCTTGTTAGAATCCTTGTGATCTATTCACAGTTAAGAATTTCTGTGTCGTCAGACCACAACATGCTTCCTTAGATCCACCTTTGTGGATGAATCTTGAACTGAGTTCTACTTGTAAACTTAGTGTTTCTTGTGGTTCCAGTCAAAGAAACATCCAGCAACTTTTTTGGTTGTATAGTCAAAGGTGCTTGAGTCATTGGCATGTGAGAGAAATATACCTGCATGTTAGTCTAAGGTTCTGATAGAAATGACATGCATTTATGCTGCCATTTTTTACTATCAGGACTCGACTTGTGTGCGGACACTTCTGTTAATAATGAAAATCTCTGATAGATAAGTATATGCAACTGGGTAAAACAAGTCTCTTGATTTCCTAGATTCTACAAGGGTGTTGCTCCTCTCTGGATGAGACAGATACCATACACCATGATGAAGTTTGCCTGCTTTGAACGTACTGTTGAAGCACTGTACAAGTTTGTGGTTCCCAAGCCCCGCAGTGAATGTTCAAAGCCAGAGCAGCTGGTTGTAACATTTGTAGCAGGTTACATAGGTATGAATGAATTACTTAGAACACACTTATCTGAAATTACTGATAAATAATCGTTTCCATTATTGGCCTTTTTTGGGAGAGAAAAATATTCGAAAGGTTATAAAGCAGGTTTTTTTGGTTTGTTTTTTGTTTTTGTTTTTTTGAGACATAGTCTTGCTCTGTTGCCCAAGCTGGAGTGCAGTGGCGAGATCTTAGCTCATTGCAACCTCCGCCTCCTGGGTTCAAGCCATTCTCCTGCCTCAGCCTCCTACGAGTAGCTGGGACTACAGGCATGCACTGCCACACCTGGCTGATTTTTGTATTTTAGTAGAGATGGGGTTTCACCATGTTGACCAGGCTGGTCTCGAACTCCTGACCTTAGATGATTCCACCTGCCTTGGCCTCCCAAAGTTCTGGGATTATAGGCGTGAGCCATTGCTCCTGGCGTATAAAGCAGTTTTCTCTTCCCATAACATTTTATATGCTTTTTAGGATTCATAAATACTTGCTAACTAGTTTCTAAAAGGGTTGTTTTATGGGGTGTCATTATTAGGCTTGGGAATGTATTTTTTTTTTTTTTTTTTTTTTTTTTTTTTTTTTTTTTTTTTTTTTTTTTAAAAATTTTTTTTATTTTTTTTTTTTTTTTTTTTTTTTTTTTTTTTTTTTTTTGACATGACAAGTTCCATTTTTCAGTACAGCTTTTTTCATTTTTTAAATTTTTTTTTAAAAATTTTTTGAGATGGAGTCTCACTCTGTTGCCCAGGCAGTGGTGTGATCTCTGCTCACCGCAACCTCCGCATCCCAGGTTCAAGCGATTCTCCTGCCTCAGCCTCCCGAGTAGCTGGGACTACCAGTATGCGCCACCATACCTGGCTAATTTTTGTATTTTTAGTAGAGACGGGGTTTCGCTGTGTGGCCAGGCTGGTCTCAAACTCCTGACCTTGTAGTCTACCCGCCTCGGCCTCCCAAAGTGCTGGGATTATAAGCATGAGCTGCCATGTCCAGCCTGGTTTAGTTTATTCCGAATTTTATACAGAAAGTATTGACTAAAATCTGGAAAAAAAAAAAAACTTAAAAGATTGTTTTGTTTTACGTAAGGTAGATGGCTTGGTAACCCATTTCACCCTGAGTCTGATTTTTATTTTAGAACTAAAAAAATTATTTTAAAGTCAGAAAAATTATTATTGGCTATGTGAATTTTTATTTTTAACTGGCACTGTATGGGATCCTTTATCTTTTTTCTAGCTGGAGTCTTTTGTGCAATTGTTTCTCACCCTGCTGATTCTGTGGTATCTGTGTTGAATAAAGAAAAAGGTAGCAGTGCTTCTCAGGTCCTCAAGAGACTTGGATTTAAAGGTAGGATGTGTTTTTTTCTTGAAAGAAAGAACAGCAGTTTTGGATATGTTGCATTTTTTCATTTGTGTTTCCTGTTTGAACCAGGTGTATGGAAGGGACTGTTTGCCCGTATCATCATGATTGGTACTCTGACTGCATTACAGTGGTTTATCTATGACTCCGTGAAGGTCTACTTCAGGCTCCCTCGCCCTCCTCCACCTGAGATGCCAGAGTCTCTGAAGAAGAAGCTTGGGTTAACTCAGTAGATAGATCAAAGCAAATGTGGACTGAATCTGCTGGTTGATCAGTGTTGAAGAAAGTGCAAAGGAACTTTTATATATTTGACAGTGTAGGAAATTGTCTATTCTATTCCTGATATAATTACTGTAGTACTCTTGCTTAAGGCAAGAGTTTCAAATTTACTGTTAAAATAAATCCAACTCTTCATGATTTGCCTGTGACTTATTTTAAAAACTTTTTTTAAAAAAGATTTAGCTTTAAAATAGTTGGAAAGAATGAAGTATAAGCTAAGGAAAAAATACAAAACAGACCATTGTTGGTTGAATATTTCAGTTGCTATTCATAAATTGTCATATGTCTCAAGTTTTATCACACAAGAAAGTTCCTGTATTTTTAGGGAAGCAGACTTTAAATTTCTAAAAACTTGATTTAATTATAGTTAAATATGTATAATCATTTGTGGTTATTTTGGCAAGTCAATGTCAGTGTATACTTACATTTTTGCAGCATGTACTATACTTTGTTTTATGTTGATGAGTTTGCTAATCCTCATTTGTAAGACAAAGTAACCCAAGGTAGGCCGATTCTTAGAATGCTAGTAAAGGACCAAAGTGATTGACAGCTGAAAACTTTCAGGTACCCTAATTCTCTTCACACAGATTTTTTTTTTTTTTTTTTTTTTGAGATGGAGTTTCGCTCTTGTTACCCAGGCTGGAGTGCAATGGCGCGATCTCGGCTCACCGCAACTTTCGCCTCCTGGGTTCAGGCAATTCCCCTGCCTCAGCCTCCTGAGTAGCTGGGACCACAAGCACGCGCCACCATGCCCAGCTAATTTTTTGTATTTTTAGTAGAGACGGGGTTTCACCATGCTGACCAGGATGGTCTTGATCTCTTGACCTCGTGATCCACCCGCCTTGGCCTCCCAAAGTGCTGGGATTACAGGC